GTATTTACCAGTAACTCATGGTAGACTGCGTACAGCGTACCGGAAAATAATGCGGTATCGCCCGCGCATTTTGAATGGCTGCATCTGTAGGTGGGTAGCTGCGTCAGCATGCGTAGGCTGCAAAGGAACAAGTTATAGGTTTATTCCATGCTGAAAAAAAGCATGGAATAAACATTCATTTAGACCGTTTCGTAAATGAACTTGGTTACAACTTCTACACTAGATACTCAAAACAAGTACATCACTCATAAGAATTAAATTGATATCAACTGGGGTTGAGGTAACAATTGAATTCTCGAGCTGTAATGCAGAATGTTGAATACTCATCCAATCTGTTTGGAGTCAGATCTCCTGCAGGCACAAAGAAGCAGTGGCAGGCTTGTTGCTGTCCAGTCGGCACTCTCTGGATCTGTGCGGCTTGCGATGTGGTGGGAGAGATTCCTGCTGATGATGCTCTCTGAAGACCAGCTAGTTAGTGTTGGCTGAAACTAGCAAAGTTTGTGCACAGGAGAAAAGTGACTGCGGGTCCCAGCAGGTCAGGAAGAGGACCGGTTCGCTCCTGATGAAGCGCTAGTCCTGAATCCTTAGCTTCAGATTGGGTTCACAAGGCTTGCTGCTGGCTAACCTCGGGTGGATCCTTTGGTTACTCGCTGGCAACCTCCGTTCTTCACTCTTAGAACAAAGGAAAGTCCTACTACTCGGACACACTGGCCGTTACGTGGTGGTCCGGGCTGAGTCTGAGGATGTTCAGGAGGAGCCCTGAGGCTGAATGTCCAGCAGGCACGCTGCGAGAATGTCCTGCTCCTGGGAACTGTTCTACAGGCGCTCTGACTTGTTTGTTTTACCTGGAGGAAATGCAGGTCGTTCATTGGTTGAAAGTTTCATGGGCATCAGAGACCCATGTGGGGTTAACCTGCCCTACCAGTTCCCGATTGGCTCTTGATGAGTAACTATGCACTCTGACCTTAGAGTTGTAAACCTGCTTTGAATAAGACTCCCTTGGAATCTCAGACTTTAAGGCACCAGAGATTCCATTTGTGAAGGTTGCTGGAGAATCTCAGCATTGGGGAGCTGTTACTTATCAGGACACTCTATCAGTTAGAAAAACACCTTAAGTGTGAACCAAATGGAATGGCCTCTCTGTATCAAGCACCACTGAGATGAAAGAGAGAGGGACTGGCAAGGGAGCAGAAAACTGAATTCCTGTGTTTTAATAAGCCTCGCCGCTACACCTCACAATCAGTCTTGTTTCAGTTTTTCAATGACAGTGCTCATAGTGCTGTGTATGCTTTGACATAAAAGCTGAATG